CCGGTGGCCTGTGGGCCTAGGCGAGCTAGTCAGCTGCCTAGGGCACCGCTAGCCCGGGCGCCCGATGATGACGTCACGGCCATTGACCACAGTGCAGGCAGGGTCCCCGAATGCGCTGCCATCTGTTGCAGATGGCATCTAGGGTGCCATCTGTTGCAGCCAGCCTCCGGCCGCTCCTGGAGACCATAACATGTGAAGGGGGAATTTTCACTGCTTCTGTCCTTTGGGGTGGAATCCCAGCTCCCCCAGGGTTCAATGCAAGAAGACAGCCCAGCAGGGACTGAAACCCACTGCTCCATATGAGGTTTGAACTCACAACTTTAGCCTGTCTTTTGGGTGCATTGTCTTATAAGTACCCAGTGCTGACCAATTGCACCACTAGAGCCACTTTTGAAAGATCTTTCTACAAAGTCCTTAGATTGAAAAAGTCAAGAAGCACAAAGTAGAATTGGAGGAGAGGGGCAAGAAGATTGACTCTCAGATTTGCACAAACCAACACCTCACCAGCAGGCCACACTGAGATTTGAACTCAGATTGCAGAAATTAAAGTCCTGCCGCTTACATCATGGAACCATCACACAGCCCCATGTTTGAGTTTCTCAGCTGGTAGCTGATACTCTGCTCTCTTTGCTTTTTCCATTCAGTGGCTTCACCTCTCCAGACCCTGCCCATCTGTATGTGGTCTCAAGGGAACTATCTGGCTCCCTCTCCGGCAGAGGAAGGAGAAATGTTGCCATGTGTTACACATGTTGGCACCGTACAGACCCCGGTCCTGGGTCCCCTGCCCTGAGCTCCATGGGACAGGGAGAAACTCCAGGAGATAGTTCTCCTGGGATCACGTCGCACATGGATCCAAAGGATGAGGGGACCCAGACTCACCCTGTGGCCAGGGATGTGGGTTCCTAGAAGCTCCCACCTAGAAAGGAGGACTCAGCTGCAGGGGAGAGGGGGTTGCCAGGAAGAAACTGGGGAGGAATTGGATGGCAGAGGAGTTGCAGAAGTTTCTGGGAGGGGGCGAGTGCAACTTCTTGGCTCTTGGGTTAAGTTCAAGAGCAGCAAAGGAGCTGCAGGACACTCCGCATGGCCCATGGGAAAGAGCTGTTCTCATGTTTCAGGTGGTCAAGTGTAGCTTCTCCGCTATTTGGCTGTGATCAAGCACTTCCTGCCTATTGGCAAACAATGGTGAAAGTCCCAGCAGTGGGACCCACTTGTGCCATTAAAGTGATAACTCTGTAAGGAGCTTCATCACTCCGTTGTCATTTTGCATTGGCTGGGAATTGAACCCAGGTCAACTGCTTGGAAGGCAGCTATGCTCACCACTATACCACCAATGCCTGTGCCTGTTTCCTGCAATGGTTGTGGAATCTGGGATGGAGACACCTGGGCGGCAGCAGCCGCAGCTTCAGGACAACAACCCTGATGACCAGCAGCGCCAGGATGAGGATTCCAGGAATGCTATGACCCTCGCCCTGGAACCAGTCCCCCAGATGCAGGAGGCCTCCCAAACATCTTCGGGCACACGGGAGGGAACATCAGGTGAGTGCTGTGAGGTTGCAACACACACAGGGCAGGGAGGCAGGAGCACAGGGGATGATGCACTATCGTGAAGTGTCATGCTGATCGTAGGTGGGGGGACACCACACATGACCGACCCCATAGAGGGCCGTCCTCCCCCCGCCATCTGTGCAAGGCACCACCTGCTCCTGCAGACAGTACTGCCAGAGAGTAATTTCCCAAAACTTGAGGTAAAGACAGAAGGGAAATGGGGATGTAGCTCAGTGGTAGAGTACTTGACTGCAAATCAAGTGGTCCTTGCTTCAATTCCTAAGTGTCCCCTTAAGAGGTTGAGCAACTTCACTTAAACCTTTGCAGCTCCATGTGTCACATTTTGGATTTCTGTTGTGCAGGGATTCTTAAACTGACCACAAACCCCTAATGTGTTCCTGCGTCAATGCATGTAAACCAGGCAAACTCATCTCTCAACTGAAACCAGTTCAAACCTGCTGTGTGTCTGGTTTCTATTCCCATCAATTAAACAAGGCTGAGATCTGAATGCCTATTGGCAGGTCCTTGGTCTCCATGGGCTGTGCTGTGCAGAAGAACAAGAACCACGCCTAGCGGGGGAGGAATGGCCACAATCAATCTTATGGAGTTTGATTTAGCAAGTCCAACTAAGACTCACGAAATCAGATCCAGAGGGTACTCCACCAGCGTCCAGTACTTCTGCTCTTTGCTTCCTTTGGGTTCCCGCAGCAGGGACACAGCCAGGCTCAAGTGAAGGAAGCCAACTCTCGCTACGTAGGGTATGTTTACACTTGCACCCTCTTTTCAAAAAGGGATGCAAATGTAAAGATTCAAAACTGTAAATGAAGCTGGGATTTAAATATCCCGCACTTCATCTGCATAATCACATGATGGTGCTATTTCAAAATAAAAAGGCTGTGTAGATGCAGTTATTTCTAAAGAAAACCCTTCTTCCAAAATAACCATTACACCTCATTTTATAATGGATAAGTCACACAAGGGAGGCAGCAGGAGAAACCCACCCCATCACACAACCTCCAGGGCAGGGGAGGCCACACCACATGCCTCCCATAGGTGCCTGGCCTGACTCATCTTACTTCCCCAGGCTGGCACCCAGGGGCATCCTCAGCTGTATCACCTCCCTCCCCGCCCCCGCCCCCCATCACATAGGAGTTGGGCTCATTGCAGGTACAGGAGCTGCACTTATCTGGACACCAAAGAAAGCCACAATAGGCGAAAAGGCTGTAACGCTGCCTGGCTTTGAACCAAGAACCCTTTGGGGAATGAGGCAAACTTGATAAACTCTACACCACAGAAACAGCTTTGAAGGGGGCTCTTCTATACTTAAACTTGGACAAAAATTCTGTTACTAACTCTTTGGCCAACTCAGATTGCTGCAGGGCAAAGGAATTCTCTGTTATTAATTCTGTGCCCTCAGGAAGGGACCAAACAGGAGGAGATTGGGCCCCCATCTGGATCTCCAACCCAAACACTGAGACCCAGGGGTTACCAAGCCAGATCATCAATGTTTGCTCCACTTCTCCTTCTCCATCACTTTGCCAAACCTCAAAGGCAACTCTACAATCCAAGCGGCTGGGGGAGATGTGCATGTCAGAGCCGCTGCCCACTGAGCTGTAGCTTTCTGTGCCCAAGGAGCCAGACACCGCCAGAGCTGGAGGGAAATGGGAGTCAAAGGTGTTGTCTGGGACCATAGAGTAGAACCATTTTATGACTGCTTTTTTGTGTGTGTTTGTTGAGCTTGGTATGATGGCTTAGCTGGTTAAATCACTTTCCTTATCAGTAAAAGATCCTGGATTCAATTCCCCCGGGTGCCTTGTTGTAACCTTTGCTCACATTTTCCTGGGACACAGAAGAGGCCTCCCCAGGCCACCCATAGAACTGCTGGTTCAGGAAAAGGCTGATTGCGGAGGAGTGTTGGGAAGAAGGAAACCACAAGCTTGGAGCAGGTGCAGAGGCTGCTGTACCTGGCACTGGCAAGGCAGGGCTCTGACTCCAATTGCTGGGCCAGGAGAGCCAGCATCACACACTCTTGTGATTCCCTGGGGGTGTCAGTGTCTAGAGATCCTGTGAGTGCAACCTCTGCAGCCACAGAGAGTAACTCTTCTCCTCCCTCCCTTGGGATGGGCAATGGCAACACATGGAGCAGCTGGGAGAAAAGTCCCAGAGAGCGGACCCATGGCTAAGCTGCCCAGGCACCTGCCAGGTTCGGGGGAGGTGAGGGAGGCAGCCCCTAGTGGTGCCTGGCCAATATGTCTGCTCTTCCCACCATCCCGCCTTACATAACTGGAATTGGCTTCCTTCAGTCGAGCTTGGCCATGTCCCACAGTGAGAAGCCAAAGGGAGCAAAGAGCAGATGTACTGGAAGCTGGTGGGGATGCCCTCTAGGTTTGATTTAGTGAGTCTTAGTCATTCCTCCCTCGAAGGAGGAGAGCAGCGTGGACACACCCTGTGTGAAAAGAAGGGAAGAGGACACTCCTGTCACTGGGGAACAGGGTGCATGGATCCCAGTCTTTCTTGCAAAAAATGGAACAGCTGAGCACTTTGCAGAGAACAGGCCAGAGCCCTGCTGGGAGGAGGCTCTGGCCATGGACTTTCCTCCCCTCTCTGTTACCTCCTGCACCTGGGGCTGAAAGGGATGCTGGGTGCCCAACAGTTCTGCCCAGCTGCCCTCCCCAGTGGGAACAGAAAATGCTCATGGAAGGGCTCACACATTGTCCCCAATGCACTGGCCTGAGGGCCTGAATTCTTGCTGCCCCTGGGTGCACCCAAATGCCCCTTCTGGGGGGGCAGGTTCCTCAGCTCACACCCCTCCTGTCTCACTTGGTGCCATGAGAACAAAGCTTGCAAAGGGGTTTGAATTCCCTCCATCTCCCCTTCCTGCAGCGCTAAAAGAAATCCTAAACCCGGACATTTCTCCTGTCGCTGGAAAGATGTCCCTTTTATGGGGTACAAAACAGTATACAGCCTGGCTAGCTCAGTTGGTAGAGCATGAAACTCTTAATCTCAGGGTTCAAGCCCCATACTGGGTGAGGCCCTTCTTTAACTTACAGTCTCAGTTTGCAAACAATTCACTCTCAGCTTTCACTAGGGTTTTAGAAAGAAAAAGTCTAGTCCTGGGGTCCAGCTTTAGTAGAACCAGAGAGAGAACAAACTCCTCAATACTAGCTATATCAGCCCAGCGAGGAGAAAAAATAGCCCTCTGCCTGCTGATTGTCCCGTCAGCTTCTGTAGCTTCACCTCCTTCCACAGCAGCTCCAGCTTTGAGCTACAAATCTCAAGGGGCTGGTGAGGAAATGAGGAGCTGGCAGCTCGGTTGAGTCGCTTCCATGAGAACAAGAGGTGGAGAGTTCACAAGGTGTATTCCTCTCCCCTGCAGAGCAGGGTGTTAGAAAGAGCTAGGAACAGAACAGTTATCCAAGTTTCACTACCAAGTTGTGTTTCTGGTGTGAAGTGGTTATCATGTTTGCCTAGCATAGAAAGGTCCCTGATTAAAAGCCAAGCAGTAACGCAGGCTATGTCTACACTTGCAGATTCTTGCGCAAGTATTATGCAAATGAGGCTAAGCGTGGAATATTGCCAAGCCTCATTTGCATACCTAATGAGCCACCATTTTTTTCAGCAGAGGCTCTTGCGTAAGAAGGAGCATCTACACTGCCCCTTCTTGTGCAAGAAAAACCTTCTTGTGCAATGCTGTTACACCTATTACTTTTCAGGAAGAACAGCATTGCGCAAGACAGTGTAGACGCTCCTTCTTATGCAAGAGCCTGAGTAAGACTGAGTAGGGTGAGCAGAGCCCCCCCCCCCCCCCCACCCTTGGTTGAGTGGAGGCAGAGTCCTTTGCCTGTCTCAGGGCATCTCAGGCTCCTTGCATCCCAGGAGAAGAAGGGGGCTCCAGGTGGAAGGAAAACAAACAAAACTAGTTCCAGTGGGCATGGGATGGGGCTCTAGTTTGGCCCAGATGAGTCAGGAGTGTCTTGCGCAGGTCCCATGGTGTAAGAGGCAGCACTCCAGACTCTGAATCATACAAGCTGAGTTCAAATCTCAGTAGAGCCTGCTGTGGCTGGGCTAGTTACTACAAACCCCTCAAAATCCATCTTCTTTGGCTTCTTGTCCTGTAGGTTCCATAGAGAGGAATTTGTGCCCAAGTCTGAGAACACCTACCCCTGTGTCTGGCAGTCTGTGAGGGGCTGGGGCTCTAGAGATGCAGGGTCAGGCCTACATATGGCTGTACCTGTCTACATGTGGCAGCAACAGAGAGTCCTGAGTGCAAAAGGCTGAAAATTCAGCATCAAACCTGCCCCCTGCTGTGGGCCTGTAAGGTGACCACAACACTGCAGTGCTATTTTGGGGTACAGAGATACCTGTAATAACTATCCTGTGTGTTGTGTCCCCTGATTTTGAAATGCAATGGGCTCACTATTCCAATGTCCCTGTGAACCTCATTCCATGAGGCGTAAGGGACATTTCAGAACAGCAGGTTATTTTGATATTTAGTGCTGTGTAGACACTAAAGCGTATTTGAAAATAAGATCAAATTGACATCTTCTGTAGCTTGAGTCTCTGAGGCACACAAGAAACTGTAAAAAAGCACAGAACCCATGGGGAGATAACAAGGGGCTTTATCACAAAGTGGAAGGCATAAACACAATTCGCCATGTGAACCCCCGTTTCTTGCATATATTCAAAATCATAAAATGCATAGTCCTCCCCCTACTCTGGAGACAAGATATTATACATGTAAGACTCGTGGCCTTCTACGTTGTCTGTAAGACCGGTGATGGAAGGGGGTAGGGTTAAGAGCAAGGCCTAAGGGAGGGGTGGGGCATCTGTCAAAACAATACAGCGATGAAACTTATCAAGGCGTTTACTACTGATACAGCACTTTCTGCAGGCTGCCTTCCAGGCTCTGCAGGAACCCAACCCCCAGGGCTTCTTGGAGACCTTCCTCAGGTATGTCAGGGAGTGACTACAGGACCTGGACATTGCCCGCAGCACTGCAGGAAGCTACATGGCACACACAGCACTAGCCTAGTGCAGAGTCAGGTTGGCACATTTGTTTCTTCCCTAGAGCCTAAGGAGATCACAAAATCCACTAATTCTGGAACCCCGGGAAAGTAAATCTGGCCTATGGGAAGCCCTGAACCTCAGTCCTCCCTATCTCTTCCCTTCACCTTGTGAATGCCAGAAGAGTGAGGTGTCTCATCATTGAGGGCTGGGGCTTTGGGGAGGAGTTTTTTTGCTTCTCACTTGTGTGTTCTCCAACTGATTTTTCTGTGGGTTAGTGGCCCCCAATGCAAAAAAGGTTTTCCACCCCTGCAATAAATAAAAACATTGATTTTTTCATATGTATTGGACATAAATATTTTACTTAATTTACAATAAAGTTTGATCAACTAACATGAGTTAAAAGGTTTAATCTCTTTAATAATTTAAATGCAACTCCCCAGATGCAGCCCTAGCAAAATGGCTTGACTAATTATGTAATTAACAGTGAGTTTCCATTAGCAACAGTAGTGTACAGAAGGTTTACAGAGGGCAGGGCTGTGATGGGCCAGGCCGGGTCAGGGCACTTCTGAGGGAATCCACTCAGGGCAAATTGCTCAAACCCAGAACTGCTTACAGCCCTTGACTGGAGACCTTTCTGAAATAGGCCACAAACCAGTCACACTGAGCACTTCTTCTGCCAGTCCAGCCCACAGGAACCCTCATGAGCAAAACTCTTCAGATACCCCAGCTCTTCCTGTGCCACAGTCAGCCCTGGGCTTACACGCAGGTGAGGGGTTATACAGCCCAATCTCTCACCCAGAACAGATCCACATGGTTCCAAAGAACCAGCCATGAATCCCTGGTCAATTTATACTATAGATCTTACCCATAAGATCACAGTGGACCAATCGTTTAGAATCTAAAGGTTTATTAATACAAGAAAGAAAAGGTTGAGAGTAAGATTGTTAAAGAGAATACATTATATACATCAATCAGCAAGTTCTTGATGCAGGATCTTAGTGGAGATGTTACAAACTGCTAGCATAAAAGTCTTTGGCGTACACTGTACGTCAGGATGGGTCAGCAGTCCTTCCCGTGTCCCTGTCCTTAGCAACGCTGCATCTGGGATAAGAAGCAAGACTGAAGACAAGCTGGAGCCCCCCTCATGGCATTTGATATTAATTTTTGGTGTCTCCCAAGCTGGAGCTAATCACATGGTCAAGTGTCCTGTCTGTTTCATATGCCAGCAGCCACTGTGGCATGGCTGCTTTGCAGCTTTCCACACTCATTCCCCAGGTGTGTATTGGCCACCCAGAGAGCCATTGTCCTTGGAGCCGTACAAATTAGCATAGTCACTCATTGGACATTCCGTCTTCATGACAGGCAGTCCATACATAGCATCAGCAGAGCCCATATTCATAACTCCCCATACTAACTCCAAACAAGCACATGAATACCATACATAGAATGAGCACAACATAAGCTTTCGTTTGACATCTCACATGGCCAACTTTGTACCAAATTTGGGGCAAACAGTTCCCCGTGATCACAGCAGTTATCTGTATGTGCACCTTAAAATCCAATAATGTGACAAAGGCCTAAAGAAAGGGTTGGGGTTTTGAGGAAGGATCTGGGATGCAGAAACTGGCAGGTGTTAAGCCTGGCCAGGAATAAGGTACAGTATGTGACCAGGAGAGACGGTGCAATAAAAAAGGAGGCTGTCAGAGCAAGCTAGGGGTGCTAGCTGCTGGGGGAACCTGCCAGCCCCACCAGCCACACAGACCAGGACCGGCCCTGAACACTGGAGGCACCACTGCTGCATGCATTCAGTCCAGGGCTGGAGGAGTTGCTGCTGCAGCCATGCAGCCCAGGACCAGCCCCAGAGGCAACCCAGGCTCTTCTGCTGCAGCAGCAACCACACAGACTAGGACCAGCCCTGGACACCAGCGGCACCACTACTGCACCCATTCAGTCCAGGGCTAGAGGTGCTGCTGCAGCCACGCAGCCAAGAAAAAGCACCAGAGGCACCCCTGACATGGCCATGAGGACCTTGAGGCCAGCAGTGCAGTGGCTCAGTGCCTCTAGTGCCGGCCTCAGGTTGGGTGGCAAAGACTCAGCCTAGCGCTACCTCCTCCCTAGTGGCTACAAGGCATGAAGATGGGGTGGGACTTAGCTCCTTCCCCCTCAGTACATCTTCATTTGGAGGTGGGGCCTGGCACTGCCTTGTGGACAGGATCAATGTCTTAGGAAGGCTGGAGTCTGCCAACAGAGAAAATTTTGCTCACCCCCACTATAGGGTTTCTTACCTGTGTGGGATCAATTATATGCAACAAGGCTTGACCTCTAGGTATAGCATTTCCCAAAGTCAGAGCAGTTAAAGGATTTCTCTCCTGTGAGAGTTCTCATGGACAACAAGGTGTGACCTCTGACTGCACCATTTCCTAGTGTGAGTGTAGGTGAATAGCTTCTTTCATATGGGTTTTCCTATGTCTAACAAGGATTGAGGTCTGACTGAAGCTTTTCCCACAGTCAGAGCAGCTGAAGGGTTTCTCCCCTGTGTGGGCTCTCACATGTCTAACAAGATGTGACCTGTGACTGAAGCTTTTCCCACAGTCAGAGCAACTGAAGGGTTTCTCTCCTGTGTGGGCTCTCCTATGGCTAACAAGGGTTGAGCTCTGACTGAAGTTTTTCCCACAATCAGAGCAGCTGAAGGGTTTCTCTCCCGTGTGAACTCTCCTATGCATAACAAGCTGTGACCGGTCACTGAATCTTTTCCCACAGTCAGAGCAATTGAAGGGTTTCTCTCCTGTGTGGGCTCTCCTATGGATAACAAGGTATGACCTGTGACGGAAGCTTTTCCCACAGTCAAAGCAGCTGAAGGGTTTCTCTCCTGTGTGGGCTCTCCTATGGATAACAAGCTGTGACTTGTCACTGAAGCTTTTCCCACAGTCAGAGCAGCTGAAGGGTTTCTCTCCTGTGTGGGTTCTCCTATGGGTAACGAGGTTTGACCGCCGATTGAAGCTTTTCCCACAGTCAGAGCAGCTGAAGGGTTTCTCTCCCGTGTGAACTCTCCTATGGATAACAAGGTATGACTGCCGACTGAAGCTTTTCCCACAGTCAGAGCAGCTGAAGGGTTTCTCTCCCGTGTGAACTCTTTTATGTCTAACAAGTTCTGACCGGTGATTGAATCTTTTCCCACAGTCAGAGCAGCTTAAGGGTTTCTCCCCTGTGTGGTCTCTCTTATGGATAACAAGTTGTGACTTGTGATTGAAGCTTTTCCCACAGTCAGAGCAGCTCAAGGGTTTCTCCCCTGTGTGGTCTCTCTTATGGATAACAAGTTGTGACTTGTGACTGACGCTTTTCCCACAGTTAGAGCAGCTGAAGGGTTTCTCTCCTGTTTGGGCTCTTCCATGTTTAATAAGAGTTGCACAGTCACTGCAAGAACAAGGTGAATGTTGATGGATTTTCTTTTGAACAGTTTCTGTGTTTGTTTTCAACCTTCTGCTCCTGTGACTGGATTTATCCTGTCCTGCTCCTAGATGGTTTCCCTGCTGCCTTGTTGCACAGTCACTGCAAGCACAAGGTGAATGTTGATGAGGGATTTTCTTTTGAACAGTTTCTGTGTTTGTTTTCAACCTTCTCCTCCTGTGACTGGATTTATCCTGTCCCACTCCTGGATGGTTTCCCTGCTGCCTTTGTAGGCTATGCTGACTCATACAGGTTTCCTCTTGCACAGGACTCTGAGAAACATGCCATTCAGATCTTCCCACTAACATCCCACATGGAGCCATTCGCTCAGGTCCTTCCTCCTGAAGACTCCTCTCACTGTTCTCATTCAGCATCTTATCACCTGCTGGGATAGAAAGAGAAACCACACAGGAGTCATTCCCTGTGCTGAGCTGAAATAGAAAATGCAGGACAAACCCAAAAAATGGCTGGAAAAATACAATAATCATGACCTGAGTTCACCCTGCTTCCCCCATCAATCTTTCCCCACCCAGCACTCTCAGACTGGAGTTGAAGACAGGTTGAAGGGCCAGTCAGACTTGATGAAAACACACAATCAACATCTGCTATGCAAACACAGAAATTGGTTTGAGTAAGTTTAGCTGATTTCGCTCCTGTGTGGGTGTCACTGATGATCTCCTCTTCCTCACAGCCTTGGAGATCTGCAATCTGCACCTCTTCCCTTTGCTCCACCCAAGAGAGCACATGAGCTTTGGAGCCTGAAAATCCTATTTGGGGAGCAATTAACCAAGTGATGATCTTTAACATTAAGGTCTGTGCCATTGCTGCTGTCAAAGCCAAGACCTGAGTCTCCTACCCAGAGAGGCTCCTTCCCAACCTTCCAGAGACTGGTCTCTGGCTGGTACAAGATCCCAGGACATACTAATGCCATACTCCCGCTGCACCACTACCATGTTGGGAATACCCCAGCTGACTCCCATGGGGAACTGAGTGCTCTGCTGCACTCTTGGAGGATACAACTCAGTCTCCCTTAGGGCCTGTTCCATACTTGGGCAGGACTGCTCATATGGGGAATGCTCTAGGACTTTCAGGCCTGACAGACACCCCTATCCAGGACTCATATTTGAGCTGCCACAGGTGCGGTCACTAGGGCTGAGAGAGAAAGGATCCAGCAGAGTTCTAGAGCGCTATGGGCTCTACCCACAGAGTTCTTGGTTTGGGGCTGGACTTGCCCTGCTCTTGGGCTCAGGTGCTCTACTTGAGCCGGAAGGAGGCAGGAGAAGTTGTTTGATCAGGAGAATGAATCCTTGGTTGGCCACTTCAGACCCTGCCTATGCTCCATATTCCTGATCCTGACTGACCGTGCCTGGGTGCCCACAACAGGTGTCAGTCCTGCAGACAGCCAGGGTAGTGCCGGCCTGTTCCTGTGGCCAGCCAAGGTGGAGACAGGCTGGGCTGCTTCTCTGCTGCTCCTAGATGCTCCTGCAGCTCAGCTCCACTTCTGCAGCCTTGGTTCAACTCTGCCTCTACCAGAGGCAGGGAAGGACTCTGAGTTGGCACCTTCCTTCCAGGAGCTCAGCACAATAGCATAAGGGGACGCTACAGACACTAAGAGCAGCTGCACCCAGCCCCACAACTCTGGTACCTGCCGTTCCTGCGTAGGCCCTTCCACTAACACCTCCAACCAAGGCACGACATGGATAAGATGGTGGGAACCACAATGAGACCTTGGCTGTGGAAAGAGCAGCACCACTATTATGTCACTGAACCTCTTCTCACACAGGAGCCAGGATTACTGGGGCAGATACTGCTGATATTGGGGATTCAGGCAATGAAGGACCCTGAACCAAACCCAACCCAGCTGCTCCAGAGCCCACCCAGCTTCTGTTCCACAAGGGGATAGGAATCCTCACCCAGCCAGCTCACAGCCTCATAGTTCTCCTGCATCACATCCCTGTATAGGGCTCTTTGGCCCGGGTCCAGCAGAGCCCATTCCTCCTCAGAGAAATACACAGCCACCTCCTCGAAGTTCACCGGCTCCGGCACGGCCATTTCCTGTCCCTGGCTCTGCAGGTCAGGGGCTGAGCTGGAGTCAGACATGGGTGTTCTGCAGCCTGGCGGGGAGAAGGGGAATCGGAAACATTTCAGAGGGGGCTTTAATCCTTTCCACACCCCAATTCCACCCAGACTCTGTCCCTGGTGACACATGTGCTAGATTCTGCCATTGTGGGCAAAAGCTTTAGTCTAGATATTCCATGAACAGGAGTTAGATCCCAAATCCACATTCATTTCTCTCTGTACCTGACTTGAATTACATTACTGCATCTGCAACAATGGGATTTAGTTCTCAGCACCCAGCGTTTCTGATAAGCCACATATTCATCTGCCTGAACATGGACATAGGCTAAATGCAGGCTGCTGTATTTAAAACCCTTAGTCTTCATTCATGGATTTGCAGCACAAACTTTGCTCTCTCATCTGACAAAGATGATATAAAGCCTTTTCACAACAGAGTCAGTGAAATTACCACCACCATTCAGATACTTATTAAACACAGAGAGTGTTTGCAGGATAAGACCTTAAAATTCATGGATTCATGGCATCAGAAGATATCTTTAGCCATGCAGTCTGTCCCCTTTGCGGCACAAGCCATTACACTTAGCCCAGCTACCCAGGCACTAAGCTGTTTCCCCACAGCATGTTTTCCAGAAAGTTGCCTAGTGTTGATTGGAAGACATCAAGACATCAAGAGATGGAGAACTTTGCTCATTTGTTTCAGCAGTTAATCCTCTTACCCATCAAAAAGTAAGCCTGAAATTTCTGTAGCCTGAAATTCTTCGGCTGCAGCTTTCAGTCATTGATTCTCACTGAACTGTATCCACTAGACCAGGGGTGGGCAATTCATTTTGATTGCGGGAGGGGGAGGGCACTCCAAGATTTTGGAAAGTGGTTGAGAGCTGCACTCTTCCAAGATATCAAGCAGGAAATACAGCATATGGGATGGACATTGGGAGAAGAAGGGAGCTTTGGGTAAGGGGTTGGGATGCAGGAGGGAAAGACACCGGAAGAAGAAGGGAGTTTTATGTGATGGTTTGGGATGCAGGGGGGAAAGAGGGGTCTGGGAAGGAGTTTGGGTGAAGGAGGCAGTGTGATTTGGGGCACTGGATTAGCAACTCCTCATGAGATATTTAAAGTAATTTAGAGAAACAGCTAAGTGGACAAATAAAGAGACGAGGGTTACTTGGATACAGGAAAAGAACAAAGAGTTTGGGTATGTGGAGTGGGAGGCAGGAGTAGGGGGCAGAGAATTAGATGGGGAAAGGAGAGGTTGGGGTGCCAGAGTGTAGCCAGACAGCCCCCCCACATCTCAAACAATCTTGCTTGCCCTCTGAGATGTCTGTATACAGAGCAGAGAAGGAACAATAAGAAAATCAGCATAGCCATCAAGCTTTGATCTGCTTTGATGCGAGACCAGGATATGCGAGTGTTCTCTAACTCTGAGTAACAATTAAGGAAATAAGCTAAGCTCGAGGCTGCAAGAAGTGCCCGGCTGGCACCTATGTTGATTCGAACACACACAGTCCCTGGGAGAGGAATTTCCCACTGAGAAAAGAATGCCCAGTACTTCCAATTTAATCATCTCAACTCTCTCTTACAAGTGTAAATTAAGTTCACAACTTCCTTGTAAGAACTGGTGTCACAAAAGACAGACCAGCACCGTTTGGCATCATAGATAAGAAAGAGAAATACATGACCCAAAATGGGTATAAAAGATGGGTCCAGCACACACTCACTTTGAGTGTCAATCTGCTCTCTACCTGCTGGTCGGGTTAGGTGTTTGACCTCCCGAGGTTCTATGGGGACGCCCACCTCGTATTTTTGTCTTTCCTAGGAATTGAGGGACCGGCCCTGGCCTGACATGCTGGAGTCGAGAGGCACAGAAGGGGGTAAAAATTGTACCTGGATGTGGTCCTCTGTCTTAAGTGTACACATAGCAAGAGTAAGCTGTTACTTGGTACCATTATTTCTATTTTTCTATCTTTATCTTCTTTGTAACCATTTTAAGACCTATATTTTGCTAATAGTTAAGAAATAGAACAATAGCCATTGCAACCATATGATTTATAAGCTGCCTCAATAAACCTGTAACTGTTTAAGCTTTAACCTGACTCCTTCAGTTGCTGTAACAGAACCAAGCACAATTTAAAAGAACTTCAGCCGGTCTAAAGGGACAGTTATAGGAAGAGCTTGGGCGTTTGGATCTGTGTCACTCCCAGGTGACAGGACCCACTGGGGCATCTTTCAGTCTTTCCTCAAGGCTGCCCGCTGCGAAGGAATTATGAAATTCTAGCAGCTGAAATCTAAGATGTAATAAGCTCTTCCTATATAACGGGGCGTCTGTTGGCCTGCTGGCCACCCTCTGCGATGGGACCCCGGTCCTAGCAGTAAAGGCACGGACGTTAAACCTTTTCTCGGAAACATACACACACACACTGCCCTGACCGTCGGCTGACAGAGGTAGAGATGTATTAATATCACAGCACAGCACAATATTTACAGAACAGACACAGAGACAAAAGGTGTGTATATACAGCACCCTAAACTTGAAACAAGATATGCAACTCATGCTATGCAAATTGCATATTTTATTTTGATTGAATTTTGAAATAGGCTATTTTTAAATTTGGCGCGTGTACACAGCACCAAATTTTGAAATAACGTGCTATTTCGAGACATCCTTTAACCCTTGTGGAACGAGGATTACTGGGATGCTGAAATAGTGTGCCCATTATTTATTTAGAAAATAATGTGTGGCTTGTGAAGACATGGGGTATCCTGAAATAACCGTGCAGTGTAACGTAATGACTTCCTTAAGGTCATGTGGGAAGTTTGTGGGAGAGCAGGGAATTGAGTTCATGTCTTCATAGCTAAATACAATGAGTTTGCCAAGACTGTTCCCCACTCTGATACTCCGAGTGCAGAAGATGGGGGCCCACAAGAGACCTTAAATACCGTGCCTTACCAACCCCATATTGAAACTGACTGAGCAGTGAAATCTGAGCCTGAAGGTGCCGTCCGTTGTGTGCTTTAACTTCACCCCTTTAGCATCACACCTTGTAGATCAGGGTTTCTCAAAGTGTCTGCAGGTCCCAATGCAGTGCCCCTGGGGCTCCTCACTTGATCAGTAGGTGAGATTTAGGGCTGTGTGCACCGTGGTCACTGGGTTTGGTTGGTAACTTCAATGACAATCCCATGAAGATATTTTCACAGGAATTTTCTCATTTAAAAAATCTCCACCTGCAAACTCACCTTGTCTAAAAGCTTCCAGGGATTTTCCTCTTGCTCTCTCCAGTGCAGAGGGCAGAGTGTCTGGTGGGGAAAGGATAACAGAGGTGAGATTCCAAGCTCTCCTCTTTATAACAACGTCCCCACGCTGAACTCTGCATTTCACTTGTATCAGAGACCAGACAGACACACACTAAAGTGCTTAGTATGAAAAGGTCTGAAACCTTCCATGTCCTCTCTCGCTTGGGCACCTCCCAGCAATAGAACCAACATCTCTGCAGCCTCATCCCCGCCCCAGGAGACACAAACTGAAAGTGAGATTTACTTTTCCCTCCTCATCCCCTCCCACCTGGTTTCTCTCAGTCACTAACCACCTCTTGTCATAACCTAGACCTGTGCTGGGGCGAAGACGTTGCCATGACATTAACTTTACCTATTTTGATCCCTTGACACCAACGGGAGGCTCAGAGTTTGCAAACCCTTGGCTCTATGTGCAAGCAGTTGACTCTGTTTGCTCAGTGCCTCTAAGGAGAGCAGCATGATGTGGCCGTCATTCTCCATGTGGGAATTGAGGCAGGGGAAGGTTGGCTTCAGAGGCCAGATTCAGTTTCTAATAGTTAAACAACTTTCCTCTACTCCATCTCTTCTAGGTACCTTCGAATTCCCTCAGAGTCTCCAACAGCGCAGTCGTTATCTGGGAGAAAGAATGTACTTGTTCTTCCAGTTCAGGGGAAATCTCCACTGGCAGCTGGAACTGCCCTGTCTCACACCTGAATAGAAACAATTCCATGTGATTCTATTTCATTTACAGATGATAAGCTATGGCTAGGAAGTCTCAGCTCTAACAGGCCTGGAGTTATAATTCCTTAAATTCCCCCAGCCTGAGAGCAGGGGCAACACAGCCCATGGCTGTGCAACCTTCCACTGCTCACCTCTGGCCCGGAGAGACCAGCTGGGGACAAAAGTGGAATTGAGTCTCAATGGCCAATTCACTCTTTGGCCTCCAGGCGATGAGGGACAGGATGTTCCCAGGTGAAGGGCTGCAGGAATCTGCCCACTAGGAACCAGACAGACACCAGCTTCTCCCTCCCCTGCTCCTTCCACACAGGTCTCTAAACATCCCTCAGGTAAGACAGACTCTGGGTCCCTGCTGCCCTGGTCTAAATGTGCCCAGTGCCCAGCAGTGACAGACCCATATTCCAGCCCCACAGTCCTGAGGCAGCCAGTCCCCAGGGAGGTGACAGCTCTAGGAAATATCTGAAGTCAGACTGTGCCCCTGAATGGGGAATTCCAGAGTCTGCTGTGCAAGGGTTAGACCCTCAGAATTAAGTGAGTCAAAGGCATTTCTGTCCAACATCTGGCTGTAGAGCCCTGGGGAGACGTGGTGCCAACATCAGCTCCAAGCTCTTTTCCTGCGCTGTGCAGTGTGACAGGAGTGCGAGCCACCTACCTGTTCAAGCTGTTTCTGACGTCATAGAGAAGAGACAGAAAAGAATCTCAGCTGCACTGGACACACACAGGGAAGGCATTTTGCAAATATGGGGAAGAGACGCCCTGACCTGGCCCCAGGGCCATAGA